CCCCCAGCCCCTCCTCCCTCAGACCCAGGAGTCCAGACCCCCAGCCCTTCCTCCCTCAGACCCAGGAGTCCAGGCCCCCAACTCCTCCTTTCTCAGATCCAGAGTCCAGACCCCCAGCCCCTCCTCTCTCAGACCCAGGGGTTCGGGTCTCCAGGCCTCCGGGCTTCCCCAACAACACACACCACGTTCCTCCTCCAGGACTTGTGCCGACAGCTCCATGCCCGTGTGGACAAAGTGGATGAAGAGAGATATGACATACAGGCAAAAGTCACCAAGAACATCACGGAGGTGGGACGCATGGGCAGCTCGGGTACCTTCGGGGTAGTGAGATGCCTGGGACTTGGTCTCTGCCTGACCCCTTGCAGCTGCTTTTGGCTGCCCATCCCAGGAGACCCAGGACAACTGTGAGCCTGGCAGGGCTGGGGCAGAAGGATGAGTACAATATAGTCAAGGAAAGCTGTTGTAGGCAGAGGGAACAGCACATGGAAGGCCATGGGTGGGGAAACAGAAAATATGTTAGTGAACATGTTCAGGGCATCACATGTTGGTAAATTAGCTCAGGCATTGGCCAGGGAATTGTGATTTGCATGTAGCTGAACCAGGTTATGCCCGTGGTTTTGTGAGGTGAGGCTAGAGCGTATGAAGAGGGGGATTCAGTTCCAGGATTAGAAGCTTAGACTGGGAGCCTAAGCTGGGAAGAGACTGGATGAGGCCTCGGTACTGGAAGACGAGATAAGGAGAATAAAAAGGGAGTGTAGGGTGGAAGAGTTGGGGGAGGGGGAATTGGAGGCAGGAGTATCCACACCCCTGTATACTGCCTCCCCCCAGATCGCAGATCTGACCCAGAAGATCTTTGACCTTCGGGGCAAGTTTAAGCGGCCCACCCTGCGGAGAGTGAGGATCTCTGCAGATGCCATGATGCAGGCGCTGCTGGGGGCCCGGGCTAAGGAGTCCCTGGACCTGCGGGCCCACCTCAAGCAGGTGAAGAAGGAGGACACCGAGAAGGTGAGTGTGGACTAAGGCCAGGAAAGAGGATGCTGAGGGAAAGGGCTGTGGGTACCAACAACCCTGGGGCCTAGCCTGAGGGCAGACGGGGCTTGAAGTTGGGGGTAGAAGCAGCTAGCCAGTACAGGGTCCTCCGAAATGCAAGAGGAAGACAGGAAGTGCATTAGGGCTACAGGAAGTCCATGTAAGAGCAAAGAGGTGCATGAAGGGCTGGGTGCAGGGGCTCATGCCTGTAATCTTTGAGATTTAAAAAATTTTTTTTTAATTTCCTTTTTTTTTTTGGGATGGAGTCTCTGCTGCCCAGGCTGGAGTGCAACGACACCATCTCGGCTACTGGAGTGCAGTGACGCCATCTCGGCTCACCGAAACCTCCGCCTCCCAGGATCAAGTGATTCTCATGCCTCAGCCTCCCAAGTAGCTGGGACTATAGGTGCACACCACCACGATATTGTTTTAATTTCTACAAATTTCTTTTTAAAATTGATTAGTCATGGTGGTGGCATGCAGCTTCTCAGGAGGCTGAGGCAGGAAGATCGCTTGAGCCCATGAGATCGAGGGTGCAGTGAGCTATGACTGCACCACTGCACTCCAGCCTGGGCAATACAGTAAGACCCTATCTTAAAGAAGAAGATAGGAAAGACAGGAGTGGATGCCTGAAACCATGGATTGTACTGAACCCTATATATAATTTTTTTCCTACACAAACATACGTACCTATGATAAAGTTTCATTTCTAAATTAGACACAGTAAGAGATTAACAATAAATAATAATAAAAGAAGGCTGGGCATGGTGGCTCACGCCTGTAATCTCAACTTTGGGATGCTAAGGCGGGCAGATTGCTTGAGCTCTGGAGTTCGAGACCAGCCTGGGAAACATGCTGAGACTCTGTCTCTACAAAAAATACAAAAGTTGCCAGGTGTGGTGACTCATGCCTGTAATCTCAGCGCTTTGGGAGGCCAAGGCAGGCGGATCATAAGGTCAGGAGTTTGAGACCAGCCTGGCCAACACAGTCAAACCCCATCTCTAGTAAAAATACAAACATTCGCTGGGTGTGGTGGTGGATGCTTGTAATCCCAGCTACTTGGGAGGCTGAGGCAGGAGAATTGCTTGAACCTGGGAGGCAGAGGTTGCAGTGAGCTGAGATCTCACCACTGCACTCCAGCCCGGGCAACCGTGGGAGACTCCATCTCAAAAAAAAAAAAAAGTTAGCTGGGCATGATGGCACACACCTGTAGTCCCAGCTACTCAGGAGTCTGAGGTGAGAGGATAGCTTGAGCCCAGGAAGTTGAGGCTGCAGTGAGTCGAGATTGCACTCCAACTTGGGTGAGGGAACCAGACCCTGTCTCAAATAATAATAATAATAATAGTAAAATAGAACAATTATAACATATTGTAATAAAACTCATATGAATTGGTCTCTTTCTTAAAATATCCTGTGGCCCTGTAGTCACCCTTCTTTTCCTTGTGATGTAAAATGACAGTGCCTATGTGCTGAGATGAAGTGAGGTGGATGACATAGGCATTTGTGACCTAGCATTAGGCTACTATTGACCTGAGAATCCATCAAACTTATGAATTATTTCTGGAATTTTCCATTTAATATTTTTGGGCCATGGTTTACTGAAACCACACAAAGTAAAATTGCAGATAAGGATGAACTACTACAATAAGAAGGAAGGAGACAGGAAGTGCATAAGGCAGACAGAAAGTGTAGGGGAAAGATAGGAAGTGCAGGAAGGAGACAGGAAGTGGAGGGGAAAGATAGGAAGTGCATGAGGGAGACAGGAAGTGGATGGGGAAAGACAGAAAGTACATGAGGGAGACAGGAAGTGCATGAGGAAAGACAGAAAATGCATGGGGAAAGACAGGAAGTGCTGGGGAAAGACAGGAAGTGCATGGGGGACAGGAAGTGCATGAGGGGGACAGGAAGTGCATGAGGAAAGACAGGAAGTGCTGGGGAAAGACAGGAAGTGCATGAGGGGGATAGGAAGTGTATGGGGAAAATTGGCAGGGATTATCTTGAAAAGACGGGAAGTGCTCCAGAACTAGACACTTAGACAGGCATCCAGGTAAGTGTGGCCCCACAGGCTGGAGGGAAGACAGGGATTCTTGAGAGACTGGGGAGACCAGGAAGAGACCCTAACCTCTGACTCTATCGCCATCCTCCAGGAAAACCGGGAGGTGGGAGACTGGCGCAAGAACATTGATGCACTGAGTGGAATGGAGGGCCGCAAGAAAAAGTTTGAGGGCTGAGCCTTCCTACCTACTGCCCCCGCCCTGAGGAGGGCCCTGAAGAATAAAGCTTCTCTCTGAGCTGAAAGTGACTCCATGTCTATTACCCAGGGCTTAGGCAGGAGAGAGATGGGAAAACTGAGGGCAGGGCTCCCCCAAAGTCACACAGCAAGTCGGGGACCAGATGGATCTCCCATGTGGAGCACTCTTGGCTCTGTTATCCAAAAGAATTCCAGGGTTCATGAATTTGGAGAGGGGAGCTTTGTTTCTTAAGAAGCAGATCGGGTGCAGCACACCAACATGGCACAAGTATACATATGTAACAAACCTGCATGTTCTGCACATGTACCCTAGAACTTAAAGTATAATAATAATAATAATAATAATAATAATAAGAAGAAGAAGAAGAAGAAGAAGAAGCAGATCACAACCTGCAAACTGGAAGCGTGGCTTCTTGCCAAAAAACAAAAGCAGGCACTTTAAGGGAGGGAAGGGCAAAGCAGGAATTTATGCTGAGTGGGTTGGCTACGTGCACGTATTCAACTGGTTATAGAAGGAGCTATGAATATTCATGGACAGGTGGACACACACATGTGTGACAAGCAAACATGCATTTTTTTTTTTTGAAATGGAGTCTTGCTCTGTCACCCAGGCTGGAGTGCAGTGGCACAATCTCAGCTCACTGCAACTGCCGCCTCCTGGGTTCAAGCCATTCTCCTGCCTCAGCCTCTCCAGTAGCTGGGATTACAGGCATGCACCACCACGCCCAGCTAATTTTTGTATTTTTAGTAGAGACGGGGTTTCACCATGTTAGCCAGGCTGGTCTCGAACTACTGACCTCGTGATTCACCCGCCTCGGCCTCCCAAAGTGCTGGGATTACAGGCGTGAGCCACCGTGACTGACCACAAATATGCATTTTACATGGTGGTAGAGGCTTAATATTTAAGTGCATCCCATTGAATACATTCGTATGGAAACATGAAGCAGGGATATGAAGGCACTCAGTGCACAGCCTCTGTCAAAAGTCAGAAACAGTCTGTGGTCCGTGGTATCTTATCAGGAGAAAGTTACTGAAATCAGTCTCTCATTCAACTAATGCTGTAGCTATGCCTTGTGGAACAGGGGGTTCAGTTAGTCAGCATCTGGCAATGGATGGCTGCAATTGTTGTAATATTGCATATCTTGCGGCCAGTGTTTGTTTAGCTGCTAGAAAAAGGAAAAGCCTTGTGGCAATTAGAACATAGTTTATTATATAAGCGTAGAGATGCGTGACTTAACCCTTGCCTGGCATGGCCTTAGGTCTTGTTTATAATTTGATATCTTATTGCCACAAACAGTTCATTCCATCAGTCTTCTGATCTCTATTGTCACAGCACCTCTGGCCCATGTGGAGTGCACAGAGATGCCAAGACTAAAGCTCAAAGAGAGACACACACAGAGAAACAGACAGGCAGAGAGACACACTGGCAACAGAGGGACTGAGTTGGGGAGTAGAGAGAGAAGGAGCCAGACAAAGACCCAAAGAGAGAGGGAGAAAATACCACAGATGCATAGAAGGAAGTGCAAAGAAAGGAGAAAAGAGAGACAGAGGTATAATCACAGCAAGGTACAGAGATGTGGAGACCCTATAAGAGAGGGAAATGGAGAACTACGGAGGGGAACTGCGGGCACTAAGACATGGAGAGAGCTAGAAAGACAGAGACGTGAACATGGACACAGAGACCCAGAGCCAAAAAGAGACAGAAATGGGGTCATAGGTGGACAGAAATGCACAGAGAAACTGTGAGCCTCCACAGACACAAACGCTGAGAGGAGCGGACATGCAGAGACACCCACAGAAATGCAGAGATAAAACCACCTGGAGTCACATGCCAAGAAACACACTGAGGGACCCAGAAAGAGACAGATGCAGAGAGAGCCCAAGACAGACCCCAGCGAGGGGCCCCAGGAAAAGCACAGAAACACAGAGACTGACCACGAGAGGCAGAGGTACTGAGAGGTACTGAGAGGCAGGGAGGGGAGGAGGCCTGCTCTCCAGGGCCGGCTTGAACCCAGAACTCAAGGTCATGGCTTGGCTAGGAAGCGGGAGGGGGACACCAAAAAGATCAGGGTTAGATGGAGGTGGGGAGGGAGGGGAGGTTTCACCCTAATTGACACCCCCTCCCCCTCCCCCTCCCCACACCTGCTTCCCGGCTTTAGTGCCTGTTGTCACCAGGATGGAATCCTGGTGGCAGACAAAAGGGTGGGGGTGGGGAGGGGGAGACAAAAAGATGGACAGAGACAGAGGGGGAGACTAAGAAGTGGAGACAGACACACAGAGATACACAGATGGAGAGCCGCAGATACAACAGAAACGGGGGTCCAGAAAGAGACCACGGTAGAAAGAGCGAACAGAGAGAAGAAAACAGGAAACACTGTAGCCCATTTGTCATTAGTAGGTCCTCCAAGGACCTACTGTGGGCCCGGCGTGGGGACGTCAAAGCACAGGGAGCTATAAGGGAGGTAGCGGCAGCACCATGGGACCTGGGGGTGGGGTGGGGGCGGGAGCAGGGCTCATTGGGGTTAGCACGGCGTTGGGGAGGGGCCCACGGAGGCTTTTGGACTCTGAGTGTGGAGCCAGGGGCAGCCGGGCTGTCTCTGAGCTCCCAGACTTGTGTTTGAGCAAAGGAATCCTCTCCCCCTCCCTCTCCCTTCGGGGCGGGGCCGAGCCTCCCAGGGCCAGCTATAAACTCCCGAGAGCTCCAGTGCCCTCAGCAAGGCTCAGCCACAAGCTTCCCAGCATCTCAGACACAGCCTAGGTAAGGGGCTCTGCGGGGCCCTGTGGTCTCCAAAGACTGTGTCCTTGCGGGAGGGGGCAGGAGGCGGGTGGGGAAGATGTGGGGTGTGGAGAAATGATACAGAGGTAGGTGGGGCACACAACTGGAAGTCTGGGAACTTGAGAGGCTCAGACTTCAGGGGACTCAGGATAGAGGGGAAAATACTGGGATTTGTGGGTTACACAGATCCGAACCCGGGGCTGCCAGGACTTGGGTGTCCCAGAACAAAACCTCCTAGGATCTTGGGGTTCTGGGAATCTGGGGGAAATCTCAGCAGTCAGGGATATCTGGACTTGGAGGTCAAACAGTCTGGGTGTCAGGATTTGGGGCCTCAGACTCTGAGGGTATCAGGAATTGGGGGTGGGTCTCACAATCTGGGGTTTTAGGAGTGGAGGCCTCGGAATCTGAGGTATTGCGATAGAAAGCATGAGAACTTGGACTGTCATTATCTGGGTATCATGAATTGGGCCTCCGAGTTTGGGTATCGAGATTTTGGGAGTCTCATGTTCTTGAGGTTTCAGAATTTAAGTCTCAAGACCTGGGGGTGGTCTTAGGATGTCTCGGCCCATATCTGGACTATCAAGAATAGCTGTGAGGACTCGCTGGTCTCAGAAACATGGGGATCACAGATTGGGGTCTCAGAATCTGTGGGTATTGGGATTTGGGGCTAGGCACCCTGTGGCCTAGGGAATCTCAAAGACTTTGAGGTCCAAGAATACAGGGGTCCGGGTGAGGTCTGTGGACAGAAGGTGCCCTTTATGCTCCTGCCCCCTGCATGATGTATGGGAAGGTGAAAGGGGAGACAGGTGGGGAGGAAGCCAGCCAGCGGAGAGGGGTGAGTGGGAGAGGGGATGAGGGTGACTAATTCTCCCAGAAGCCCCCCTTCCTCAAATCCCTTCTTAGGAAATGTCCTCTGTTTCACCATCTATGACATCCCCCCAAAATAGCTCCTGGGGGTGGGGCAGCTATTGTCTTCAGGCCACTGTCCCTTCTCAAATGCCTCCTCCTAATCCCAACTGGATCAGGTTCCCTTGGACTTGTCATAAGACAAAAGAGGACAGCTGTGCGGAGGGGGCAGGGTCTCCAGCCTCCTGGCTGTGCCAGGACCACACCTACCAAGGTCTGTCCTCACGCATGCTTTAGGACAGCCAGCCCCCTCCCTCAGACCCAGGAGTCCAGACCTGAGCCCTCCTCCCTCAGACGCAGGAGTCCAGGTCCCCAGCCCCCTCCTCCCTCAGACTCAGGAGTCCGGACTCCCAGTCCCTCCTCCCTCAGACCCAGGAGTCCAGACCTGAGCCCTCCTTCCTCAGACCCAGGAGTCCAGACCTGAGCCCTCCTTCCTCAGACTCAGGAGTCCAGACCTGAGCCCTCCTCCCTCAGACTCAGGAGTTCAGGCCCCCAGCCCCTCCTCCCTCAGACCCAGGAGTCCAGACCCCCAGCCCCTCCTCCCTCAGACCCAGGAGTCCAAGTTACGCATTGCTCCAGGCTGGTCTTAACTCCTGGGCTCAAGCAAGCTTCTGGCTCAGCTCTCAAAGTGCTGGAATGACAGGCGTGAGCCACCACGCCGAGCCTCCCTTGTTTTTGAGGCTGAGTCATAGTCCATTGTCTGGCTCTCGACCACGTTTGGTTTATCCGTTCCCCATAGATGGAGGCTTAGTTGGGTGTCCACCTCTGGGCTATCCTGAACATTATAAATATGGGCATGTAAATAGCTTTTTAAGTCTTTGCTTTCAGTTATTTTGGGGATATACCCAGGAGTGGCATTGCTGGATCAAAAATACCTTTTCATTGATCCCAAAAGCACTATATATATATAAAATATACATGTGTATATATATACACATATATACACGCACACACACACATATATATGTATACATATATACACATACCATCATTATAAGATTTCAGTGAGTGGGAAGGATATATGTGTGTGTGTGTGTGTGTGTGTGTGTGTGTATATATATATATAGAGAGAGAGAGAGAGGGAGACAGAGTCTTGCTCTGTTGCCCAGGCTGGAGTTCAGTGGTGCAATCTCGGCTTACTCAACCTCCACCTCCCGGGTACAAGCGATTCTCCTGCCTCAGCCTCCTGAGGAGCTAGTAGACTACAGGCAGACACCACCACGCCCAGCTAATTTTTGTATTTTTAGTAGAGATGGGGTTTCTCCATGCTGGTCAGGCTGGTCTCAAACTCCTGACCTCAGGTGATCTGCCCGCCTCATCCTCCCAAAGTGCTGGGATTACAGATGTGAGCCACCGTGCCCAGCC